GCTTGGTGGTGATGAACTCTTTTAGCCTTTTTTTTTTTTTTTTGGTCTGGGAAGCTCTTTATTTGACCACCTATCTTGAATGATAGTCTTGCTGGATATAGTAATCTTGGTCTCAGATCCTTGCTTTCCATTACCTTGAGTACTTCATGCCAAACGGGAAATCAGGTGTCAGCCTTATGGGAACTCCTTTGTAGGTAACAGTTTTCTTTTTTCTTGCTTCCTTTAAGATTCTTTGTCTTTAATTTTTGGCATTTTAATTATGATGTGTCTGGGTGTGGGTCTGTTTGGGGTTCTCTGTGCCTCCTGAACTTGTGTGACTTTTTCCTTTACCAGATTAGGGAAATTTTCTACCATTATTTCTTCAAACATCTTCTCTATTCCTTTCTCCATTTCTGCCTTGTCTAGCACACCTACCATTCTAATATTGTTACGTTTCATACTGTCCCACAGCTCCCTTAAGCTGTCCTCGTTTTTTAATTGTTTTTTTTTCTTTTTGGTTCTCTAATTTAGTGATATTTTCAATTCTGTCTTCTATTCCACTGATTTGATCCTCAGCTTCCCCTAATCTGCTGTGTATTTCTTCCAGTGTGTTCTTTATTTGTGCTATGTCATTCTTTATCTCAGACTGTTCTTTTTTCATAGTTACTATATCTTTTTTCATACTGATGAGCATTTTTAACATCAGTACTCTGAACTCTGTTTCAGATACATTTCTTATCTCTGCTTCATTTCCCTCTTCTTCTGGAGAATTCGCTAGTTCTTTCATTTGGGAGTTGTTTGTTTCCTCATTTTGGCTGTTGATTTGGGTTTGTGACTATGTTTTAGGTAGATCCTCTTCACCTCTCAATCTCTAGTGCAGGACAGTGTTAAAGGCTGTTTCTGACTAACTGGATCAGGCAAAGACTCAAAGCCTCCAGAGACCACCTCTGGGTACAGACTGATAGGATTCTGACTTGAATTGCCCCCAGGCAATTATCCTCAGGTATGGTGAGAGTTTTTTCAACAGGGTGGAGCGGTAGCTTCTGCCTGGAGGCTAACTATTACTTTTAAACTCTTAAGTGGCCTCAGGGCAAGGTGTTCTCTTATAGGGTGTGTCAACTGTCTTCCCCCCAGGCAAGGCAGGTGTCTATGTGGGAAAGATGTCCTCCACTGTGTGAGGGAATGGCTCAGCCCAGGAAACTTGGAGTGTCTGCCTTCTGAGCTCTATCCCCCAAGTCCCTAGTCCTGGCTTCTGTGCTCACAGCTCCAGTCCACTTAACACACCCTCTGCTGGAGCACAAGGTGAGTGGCTCCACAGGGAATTTTTGTGCGTTGGCCCTTTAAGAGGATGCCCGAACTTTCAGCTGCCACTCCCTGGCAGACAGCACCCCACTGCTTTTCACAGCTAGATGCTATGTGGGTACCCTCCTCAGTTTGGTGCTCTCTGCTGGGGAGCCCAGCTGTGGGATTAGATCCCAGAGGTCTCCGTGGCATGCCCCCCCCCCCCAGACACAGCTGAGATCTCTCTCCAGGACTCCCGTTGCCGTCTGTGGGAGCCCCGCCAACCCTTTTGTGCCTCCACCCCTCCTACCAGTCTCTATGCGGTCTCCACCTTTGGCACTTGGGTATCAGGGTTCTCTCCTGTGAGATTTCCATTGAGTATTCAGGAAGCCTTTCCGAATTTCAGTTGTACTTCCAGTTTGTTCCTGGGAGCATGTTCGAGCAGCATCCTTTTACTCTGCTGCCATTTTTAATCTTCCATATGAGTACTTTATATATTTTGGAAATGAACCCCTTATCAGACTTATCATTGGCAAATATATTCTCCCATACAGTGGACTCCCTCTTCATTTTGATGCTGGTTTCTTTTGCTGTGCAGAAGCTTTTTATTTTGATGTAGTCCATTTGTTTGTATTTTCCTTTGTTTCTCAGGAGAAGTTTTGGTGAAAATACTACTATGTGAGATGTCCAAGGTTTTGCTCCCTACGTTTTCTTCTAGAATTTTTATAGTTTTGTGACTTAATGTTTTTTTCTCCCAATCTATGAAAACTTTGGCCTCCCTATTTATAAAATATGCCCCCCCCCAAAAAAGAAAATCATAAGGCTCTCATGAAGACTGAATGAGCAAATGTTTTTTTTTTAAGCCAGAGGGGCCACATACATTACAGAAGCCTCATAAAGATCTGTGAGCTGATATTGTGTATTCACTAGCTTTTTGTGGTAATTAACACTTAGAGAAAGGGACCAGCTCATTGGGAATTAATATTTTAAAATAACTATATACTAAGATTTCTGGTGTAGCTGGATTTGGCTTGTAATAATACAAAGAGTTGGAAAATTAAAATGTGATATAACAGAGTATGTTTTTGAGGGCTGTCGGATAGAACTCTCTGAGAAACTGGAATTAAGGGAACTAGACTGCCTCTGAAGAGCTAAACTATAAACTCAACATAAACAAGGTCAGAACGGAGACATGCGAAGTCAGTGGAAGCAGACATGATTCACAGAGGAGCAACCTGCACCTGGTACATGCTATGTTAGCAGAGGACTGGCCTCAGGAGGGCCCCTGCACCACAGGGCAGGAGGGAAGGACACTTTGCTGGGCATCCCGAGCACACCCACCCAGGCCTGTCTAGAGGCGGTCACGGGTGGGGGATTTCACGTTAGGTCCTGGGATGCGGTGATCCCTAGCCAGCACCCACGTTCACACTAGGTGCTTTACGTTTCAAACCTACCAGTCACCTCCTGCCTCAGCACCTTTGCGCCTGCTCTTCCACTTCCTAGAATGCTCCCATCACCTACCTTCTCCATTGGCCGAGTCGTCCCTCAGGTCTCAGCAAAAACACCCTGACTTCCTCAGTGTCAGTGGTCCCTCTTACACACTCCGATGGCTGCTGTGTTCTCTCCTAGGACTTGTCACACTTATACAGTATGTGTTTATATATCTCGTGACTCTCTCCCACTGGACCCTACACCTCATGGCTCCTGAAACAGAGCAAGTGCCCAGTGACCACCTGTTGCATGGTAGTATGGGTGGGTATAGAGGGATTGGTGGATAGATTGGGTTTTCAAATCCTGGTGCCAGTAAATGATGAAAGTTACTGTTCATCAAACACACTTCCAGCTAAACTTCCTCTTGTCGTGCAGGTGTCTTAACAGGGAGAAAGGGCTACTCATGCCAGAGTCTTTTGGTCCTTCATGCAAATAGATCAATTGGTAGTGTCATCTTATCCACTCCATAGCATAAACCTGGTAATGAGGGCCCCTCACCACACCCCAAGATCCTGTGCTGTACTCTCCACGCACTAACACGGACCAACTTCTGACCTGCCAGGCCAGTGCCCAGCGCTGGTCAATATCAGACAGGGCCGTGATGTCTGCAAGGCTTCGTCGGACAGGTTCCCTCCTCTGCTCCGTGGTTCTCAAACCTGACCAGGCATCAGAACCACCTGAAGGGCTTGTTAAACACAGATTGCTGGGTTTTGCCTGTCTCCACTAAGTTTGGGATTCAGTAGCTCTGGGGCCGGAGAATTTACACTTCGGACCAGTTCCCAGGAATGCTGATGCTGCTGGCCAGAGGCATGAGAGCCACAGCTTAGCACTGTTTCTCTGTAGGACTCGGCACCTTTCATTTTGGGGAAACACAGTAAAACTCATCCCACTCTTCTCCCATTTAGTAATGCATTTCTAAACTTTTTAAGACTCCTCAAAGACACCATTCAATTCTACATTTTTAATCATTATTGATTTCAGAGAGGAAGGGAGAGGGCGAGATATATAGAAACATCAATGATGAGATAGAATCATTGATTGGCTGCTTCCTGCCCACCCCCCACTGGGGATCAAGCCCGCAACCCAGGCATGTGCCCTTAACTGGAATCAAACCTGGGACCCTTCGGTCCACAGGCTGATGCTCTCATCCACTGAGCCAACCTGGCCAGAGCCATTTTTCTTTTTTTATTGCAAAATATACCAAACATGCAACAGAATTTATGCAGTGTATCTATATGACTTACTTTTAAAATATAAAAGTATGCATTACTTACCACCTAGCCTAAGAAAAAGAATTTAACAATATGTGTGAGGCCCCATGTGCCTGGCCCCAGCTTCCCAGAAAGCTATTGGCCAAATTTGTGTTAAACATTCCTTTGCCGTTCTTAATCATTTTATCACATATGTATATAACCCTAAGAAATACGAGAACTGAAGTCCTTGTAGATATTTCAACTACCTAAGGTTTCTTTTTTTTTATATATATTTTATTGATTTTTTACAGAGAGAAAGGGAGAGGGATAGAGAGTTGGAAACACCGATGAGAGAGAAACATGGATCAGCTGCCTCCTGCACACTCCCTGCTGGGTACGGGCCCTTGACCGGAATCGAACCTGGGACCCTTGAGTCCGCAGGCTGACACTCCATCCACTGAGCCAAACCAGTTAGGACTACCTAAGGTTTCTTAAGAGGGGAAACTTATTAGAAGATTTCTGAGCACATTTCCAATTCTGCCATGAAGACTGGCATAGTTAGTGTAAAAGACTTATCATTCATCACCTCTCTCTCCTTCCAAGAGATTCTGCCTGCTCTCCTGCCCACAGCCTCAGGAACCATGTTCTATCAGAGGAAGTTGCCTCTGACCACATCTGAACGGCCTAACCCAAGCCATGCCTCAAGTATTTGCCTCAAGTATTTGATTGAAGAGATGGAGTGGATTATTGGATGGGACGGATAGGGTCACAGTCACGTGCCAGCCAAATGAAAGGGAACAGAGAAACCATGTGTTAGTAGAAAGAAGTCAAAGGGGCGACGCTTAGACAAGGAAGACAAGAGCCCTGTGGCTCCAGAGCATGAGCGAGAAAGCAGCTGCCTGCTGAAGAGCCTGGGTCCTTGCAGAGACCGCTATTCCTCCTGCACTTCACTTCTGCAAGGTTCTCAGTAGGTGTTCAGCAGTTCTTCCTGCCTGAGCTGATGTGAATGCATCTGTGGTCCTGGCAATCAGTCTCTTAATAAGACAATGTGCTTACGCAGCATTTGTGAACGCAATCATTTTGTTTCCAAAAACTGTCACAGTGGACTATTTAGACACAGACAACAGTGAGGTGATGGCCAGAGGACAGGGGCAGGGGCTGGGTGGAGGTGGGCGAAGTGGGGGAAATGGGGACAACTATAATAATGTCAACAATAAAAATAAAGTAAAAATCCTATATAATAAAGAGCTAATATGCAAATGATTGTCATGCCATCACGCTGTAACGGCATAGACACTCAACACCTGGGAGAGAGGAATGGGGACCAGCCAGGCACAAATGAGCGCGCGAGAGAGGAATGGGGCCCAGCCAGTCTGCAGCCCGGGAGAGGGACAAGCCACCCGCCCCGCGGTCCTGGGTGCCAGTGGCTGCGCCTGCGCCTGAGGCCCGGGAGCGGGACAAGCTGCCAACCCCGTGGTCCCAGGTGCCAGCACCTGCAGCTGCGGCCCAGGCAAAGCAGCCCGCCCATGGCCCCCTGCGGCTGTGAAGCCAGCCCGCCTGGGTGCCGCCTGCAGCCAGCCAGAGGGAGGGAAGCCCAGGTCCCAGGTGCGAGGTGAGGCAGAGATGGCTGGGGCGATCAGGCCAGCAGGGGAGCAGTTAGGGGCGATCAGGCAAGCAGGCAGAGGTGGTTAGGGGTGATCAGGCAGGCAGAGGGGTTACAGGCAGACAGGCGGGGGAGCGGTTAGGAGCTAGCGGTCCCGGATTGCAAGAGGCAGTCAGACATCCCCTAAGGGGTCCCGGATTGGAGAGGGTGCAGGCTGGGCTAAGGTACAACCCCCCCCTCCATGTACAAATTTTATGTACCGGGCTTCTAGTATATAATAAGTAAATAAATAAAATAAAAGTGGACTGTGCAACTCCAACATATAATTTAAATGTACACATGAGATAACAGTATATAACTCTCTGCAATGCAAGTAATGATTATAATAAATTAATAATGGCTACTTACTATAATGATTTATTATGACAATAGGAATATTCAACAAACATTTTGCTGAGCATTTACTATATGCCAATCACTGGAGATCAGAGATGAATGTATCATAGTCATTGCCTTTTAAAAAAAATATATTTTTATTGATTTCAGAGAGGAAGGGAGAGGGAGAGTTAGAAACATCAATGATGAGAGAGAATCATTGATTGGCTGCCTCCTGCACGCCCTGACTGGGGATTGAGCTCGCAAACGGGGCATGTCCCTTGACCAGAATTGAACCCAGGACCCTTGAGTCCACAGGCCAATGCTCTATCCACTGAGCAAAACTGGCTAGGGCAGTCATTGCCGTTTGAGAGCTTACATAGTCCTATGAGAATGACAGATGTGGGAGCAAATACACCAGACAATACAGCACAGGCTAACAGTCATGCATGTTTTGGGGTGAGCCTAAAAACGAAAGCACCTAGAGTGGAGCAGCAGGCCGGGCGGCTTGAGGAGCTGACATTGAAGCCAGGCCTTGAAAGTTTAACAACAGTTGTCTAGGTGGTGAGTGTGGGGAAGGCTTTCCAAGCGAGGAAGCAGTGTGCCTAAGCGCCACGAGGCAGGAAAGGTCGCGAACCTCAGAGAAAACCATTTGGCATGGAGTATGCGGGGGAGGAAATGAGAATAAAGAGAAGCTAGCTAGAGCCTTCCATGACACCTGCAGGTCAGATTTTATCTGGGAGACCATGGGGAGTTATTAAATAAAGTCAAGCAGCCTATTGCTAGGATAAAAATCAGTGTTCTAGAAAGAACACTGTTGATGGAGGATGAATTGGATTGGGGAGGACAATACAGAATTAGGGAAACTTTGGGGAAATCCATTCAGCAGATGGCAAATATGTACAGTGAGGTGAGGCAATGAAATGAGAAAAGAGGGGCTCTGGAGGGCATTCGGAGATCAGCTTTCCAAGGTGCAGGAACTGGCTAGGAAGGCAGAGTCGCAGAGTGATGGCAATAATCGGGGGGAGCAAAGGCGTGCCCAGAAGCTGGGGGGTCTCTAGGTCTGTGGTTGCATTGGGTTTCAGATGACCATGCTGGTCCTTAGGAGGAAAAAGTAGTAGGTATGAGCATATTTAATTGTTGAGGGGCACTCGCTTCATGAAACTACTAGTGTCCCAGTGCATAGATTCATGCACATTGAAAGGAAATTAATTAGAAGAAATATTTTAATATTGTTATTTGTGTCTGGCTAATGAAAAGAAAATAAGATTCTACCGAGTCTCCTATCTACCTACTCCAGGACTTCTGTGAGGATCAAACGAGATGAGGCATGGGAAAATGCTTCACAAACATTTGTTTAAACTATAAAATGTTTTTGTACCTGGCTATAAAGCAGGTTGGGTTCCTGGGCTGAAGAAACTCCAAGGAGGCTAGCTGCTAGGGAGAGGAAGCCAGGCTTTGCTACTTGATGTCAGTACCTGGCGCCCACAGCGACCGTTTTATGGGCTGGGCTGTGGGCTGCATTTTGTGCCATGGGGTCTTGGCAGCATCAGCTGAGATTTGGTGGGGTGTTGCTCCAGGGTGGTGGTGGGGCCTGTGTCCCACTTGGGGAAAGCCAAGTGTTGGTTTGTGGGCCCAGGTCCGTAGTGCCGTTTATTTTTAAATGGCCAGTGCGCATCATGGCAGCTCCTGCATTGAGCGTCTACCTGCTGGTGGTCAACTCACATCATAGCTACCGGTCGGATGGACAGACACTTAGCCTTTTATATATATAGACTAGAGGCCCGGTGCACAAAAATTTGTGCACTTGGGGGGGGGTGTCCCTCAGCCCGGCCTGTGCCCTCTCGCAGTCTGGGACCCCTTGGGGAATGACCACCTGCTGGCTTAGGCCCGCTCCCC